TTCCCTACATTTTGCCTGTAATTAAAGCGATGTACCTCCTTTCAATAAAGTTCATACTTCACGGGCATTCTGATTAACTAATGGTGCACTAAAAGAAGAACAGAAAGCAGAGTCCACATTACCAATTCAGAATGGAGAAAGAAGTCCTTCTAAAACCCTTTGCAGACTTAGGCTCTTATTACATTCAGAACAGTTCCTAGATTCCCCAACAGTATCACTGTAATATCACCTACCACTACACACTGCTAGGAAGACAGCAACCAGCAGGAACCTCATCATGTTACCTTGAACAGTTAAGATCTGGGGCAGGGATGGGACATCAACCCTTTCCATCTCTAAGTCAGAGAGGCTCATATTAATACAGGAACACATCCAAAGTCCCTGCACTAGCTCCATATAGTCTTACCATTAACATTTTGGCATCGGTGAAACCATTACCTTCATGTATATTCACAAGCTCCAACAACTTACGACTCTGTGAAATACACCAACTGCCTGAAACTTTCACTGTTTTCTGCATATGAACCATCATCTCGGTAAAACAACTACATTTCCCACAAAATTTGACTGCAAGACTTGTTCAGCTGACTTTATACAAAAGGCTTCTCTTGATTTACTTCTTTTTTTAAGCAGATATTTTGTTTCTGCTTGAGGAACCTGTTTTTTTGTAGGTGCACAGTTCTCTCTTTTCAGAGCTCTGTGGCTAGGTGCTTTGTCTAAGAAGCATGTAGCTGATACTGCACATACAATACACTCAGAAACAGACAGTGTGCAAAACCCCTTGACAACAACCAAATACCTCAAATAGACACTTTTCATGTAACTATCTTTTCTCAGAATATGATGCCAGAAAAACAACATACACGTTTAAGCTACAAAATAACAGATAGCCCACACTGTGCTGTGGACAGGTTGCCCAAGGAAGTGGTGGCTGCCCTGACCCTGGCAGTGTTCAAAGTCAGGCTGGATGAGGCCTTGAGCAATCTGGTCTAGCGGGAAGGTGCCCTTGCCCATGGTAGGGGGTTGGGACTAGATGATCTGTAAGGTCCATTCCATCCCCTAAATTCTGTGATTCTGTGATTCTATGACCGGGTTTTTTATATGCATATCCTTAGACAGAACATGCAGTCACACACCAAGTTCCCTAAATTCACATACACACCTATCAGATTAAAAAAAAAAATGTTAACAACATAGATTACTTGACCATAGCCACATAAATACTGATGAACTGATGCAAGCTAAATGTTTCACATTAAATTCTCCTAGATTTACATGCTTCTTTCATGCTCACTTATATCTATTCCTGCCATTGAGCTTTTCCTACCAATCTGTATATCAAATGCCAGTAGCTACATTAACCTATGAATTAATGTCATAGCTAGTTGGTCTATGCCATTTCTTGCTCAAATGCTCTACCAATGAAGCTAAGAACATAGGCTGTGGAAGAAATACTACAGAGAGGCTTTCTAACAAAGAATTAAGTTGTTGAGTCAACCATGGTCAGACAGCTCCTACAAAAAAAGCCCTCAAAAATCCTATGTTAAAACTCACCTGTTCTTGCTGGGATCTCTGCTTTGGTCAGGAAGCAATGGTGTAACTCCGAATAGCTTCAGGGTTGACAGGATGTCTAAGCTTGGCCAGTCTGGACTATACCAAAGTATGCTAACAGATGTGTCCTTAAATGACAGGTTTGCTTTCTCTATTACATGTTCTTTTCCACTTTTGTCCTTTAGAATAATTATCCAACTCAACCCAGAGGCTCTGTTATTTAGGAATTGAGAGGGGAGAAGGGTATTTAAAAAAAAGATTCCCAAAACGACAAAACTAAAAATATGCTTTCAACAGAATTTAAAAATCTCTACTAACTACTACTTATGTTTCTTAGGCTCACTTATTTATAGACTATCATCATATCTTCCCATTATGATACACATTTTATAGCTCTACTTTCATATCCCCTCCCAGCATTTCCAAAGTTATGAATATTCTGCCCATTGTTCCCAAGTAAACCTCTTCTGTGACAAGGCATTGCTTACTTTATAGCTTCTTTGTTTTTGCATGGGAAACCTGTATAAGGATCTACAGGTTTAACAAGTCGCATTACTCTAGCTTTGACAGCAGCTGTTTGTTTTGAGATGTATTCTTTCTTCCAGTGCCCAGGCTTTTTATCATGTAGAGCAGCACAGCCCAAGGAAACAGTTTCTGTTTGTTCAGACTTCATTTTCCAAATTTTCCTTTTTGGTTGAAAACACCTGGAATAAATTTTCAGCCAAATTCTGCTGAAATTGAAAATAGAATGATGAGAAAAGCCACGTAAATTTCAAGAACAGTCATTTAATTTTTTATACACACGTCTCAGCTACGACAGAGCATAATGTCAGCAGAAAAAATACACAGTCCTGGACTATCAGCAAACTGCATTGGATCTAAATCTGTTTCTATAAAAGCAGAAACTGTAGCCTCCTAGGTGTTGGTCAAGAAAATGCAAAGGCGTGGTTGTACACCACTGCCTACTGTAACCTACCAAAAGCCCATATGAGGTCAGTTTCCCTGGTGCAAACACGAAGGCTCAGGAACCCAAGGATGCCAGATGTCAGCATTTCTCATGGGTTTACTAGGTTATCTCAAAGACCTTGGAACCTCTAAACACATCTCTTGCTCTGGATTATACACACCAAATGAAATTCACTTACAACTTTCTGTTCTATCACGGGAGGGGGAGGGCAGGTTACTCAGTTAATTCTTACAGTATGCCAGTAAGGTTGATAAACATCTGAAATACACACACAGGAAATATTTGGCTAGTGCTCTAGAAAGTAGGCGAATCCGATATTGAGAACTTCCCACAGCTTTACAGCTCTCAATAGCACACCAGAGGAGTATGTGGTTTTTATAAAGCCTTCCTTCCCCTTATGCAGCTACATCCTTCACAAACACTCACTGAAGCAGATCTAAAACCAAACAAAAAACAAACACACACAACAACAAAATAAACCAGCACACATCTGAGAGAAAACTATCATGAGGAAACAAAGACAAGGTAAGTCTTGTCTTCCTGAAAATACAGAACCCAGGACGAAGCCCAGAGACAGCACAGCCATACTGCACAATTTCAGTGAAAACTGGTAAGGGTTAAGCAGTTACTTTTGAAAATTCCAACCCAAAACAATGATGCATTCTCCTCACACAAAATCAGCTAGTGGAAAAAGAGGTTTAATACCTCTTACTCAACAAAGATAATCTGTATCCCTCAAATTTTTCACACGGATCCAGGTGAAAGTGGGGTGGAGGAGGACAACTAGAACCACCTATGCTTGTTGGTACCAGCGTCACATCAATCCCTTCCGCACTCTCTATGGAAAAGTTCAGAGAAGACATAACTTTCTGAAGACAAACATGCTACAGGAATGGTAGGTTCATCTCTTTCATGTTAGGAAAACTATGAGATCACATTTCCACCCCACACACACCACTATCTCTAGGACAGTTCATGGAATATTGAATACAAGAAATTACAAGGATTCAAACAACAATCTGTGAATAAAGACTTCCAATAAATCCTGTAATTTTAAAGTGCCAGCCACACAATCTACATAACTGCACAGAAGAAAATTAATAGCAAGAGAAATAAATTCTCGGGAGAAATTTTCTACCATTTATCAGCAAGATTACCTTTCCCAGTCCTCACTTATCCCCAGGCAAACTTACACTAACATGCTTTGTAATGCATCTTCCCCCTCCTTAAAGCATTCAGTCCCACTGAATCCATCCCACACTGCCTCCTACCCATCAAAACCATCTCAGTTCATCAGCAGCTGAGAATAAATCGCTGCATGCTGAGAGCCAGGCATACTCAGGAATTTTGCGGAAACCTTCCAACCTGCTGCCCTGCAGACACATACAGAACCTCCCACTGCCATTGTTTGAGTCAAAGCCATTTAAAACACACAATATTAATTGAATTAATTAAATTAATAAAAAATTTCAAACACAATAACCTTCAATGACCGGTAAAAGTGTGTTCACAGTCAGCATCAGCCTCCAACTTCCCTTTCACCAAAATCAGGATGGGAAAGGGAACATGAAGCACAATTCCATAAGTAACACAAAGATTTAAAACCAAAAAGGCAACCCAGTTATCAGATATTATAAAACATTCCTGATGAACAGAGGAAATTCTTATTTAACCTCAAAGCAGTTTAGAATTAAGGGGTGATGAAAACAGAGGAGAGATGTCCTTGACATATTATCCTCAGGGGAAATTGAGCTGTGTATCATCCAACTGGTCTTAATCAGCTTAAAAAGCCCAGTAAGATATTCTATAACACTCTCCTGTTAACTAGAAACCCCTTCCCAAAAGAGACATCCTTTCTTTCATGGAGAGAGATACTCAGCATCTGACTGCATGATGCTGAAAAGGCAGAGCATAGTAGTATGCATTTACTGCATTTTGAAGGTACAGTCTCAGGAAATGTAAGTTCTGAGGCAAGTGTTCTTCTGGCAAGACTGAAGACATACTTGCCAACAATGCCTGCCATCCTTGTTCTCTCTCAGTTACATATTGCTTCTTCCTTTCCCAAAACAGCATTGTGCAAACAGATGAGAAATCAGTTCAAGAAGCTAAAAAATTCAGTTAGTGCAGGGAGAGAGAAGAAAAAGAAGGACTTGGAATCACAGGTGTTTAGGAAGGTATAATTGCCCTTTCATCCTCAACTTCTGAAGAATTCAGGCCATATAAATCAAAAAGGCATCCAACGGGGAAGCACAGATTTGCTTCTTTCACCATAGAATACATGCCCCTTTTGCCTCAAAGTATTAAGTATAATGTTCATCTCAAGGTCTCTTACTGGACATTACTACAACAAGCCAAACAAACCTCTTACTGCCAACTCAAATGCCAGAATGAGACACACATCATTGCCAGTCACCACCCAGCTACAATAGCAAAAAGACTTTGCCCTATGCTCTGGCTTCACACTTTCTCTTGTGCAGCACATTCTGCTTGTGATCAGAATCCTCAGGCTTTTAGACAGACTATCTACGTGAGCTTCTTACACTGCATGACAGCAAGGCTGGAATAATACCGCATGCTGGGGCAAGGAGGGTGTAGAAAGGGGGTCAGAAATATTTCCTTGTCTTCAACAGTTATATTGAAGACATCAGTGCCAAGGAACTGTTCAGGTGCAGAGAGTATTTGAAGAGCCCAAAGACAAAGCACTGCATTAGGCAGCATAGACATATCATAATGAAAGACTGATGGTCCTGTTGCATCACTCACAGCACCCTGTACATCCAGGACAGCAGAAATACCCTAAAATAGACACTCTGCCTAAAAAGCAAGAACAGATTTGTCATAGAGATATGCAGAGACTTCAAATAAAGCTTCTGTTAATTCATTGCAAGATTCAGGGTCTCAAGAAGGTCCATGGAAATCCAGTGGGAAGAAACAACCTAGCCCCACTGAACCAGTCAGTCTCTCAGATAAGGGCAAGTATCTCTTCCCTGAATCCCATTTGTGAATGTTCAGTAATCTCTATTCAGATTAGAAATGGAAACTGACATTGTTGAGATGGAGACAGATGAATCATGTTCCCCTGAACAGCCAGAACGATTTTATCCTACCTTACTACCCTGAAGTGGAAAACATATATTAAGATACATAATTTGTGTCAACTATGTAATTTTTATCTACACACACCTGCTGACAGTCTCGTAAAATAAATCTGGATTATGGTCTTCCCTTTAAATTCATCAGTTCTAAAGGTGTCAATGCCAATGTAAATTAATTTTGCACAAGTTTGGCAAATAAGGCAGAAATGGATGAATACCAGATACAGCAACTGCCTAAAGAAGATGACATTTTCTTATTCAAACAACACTAATGCAGCAGAATCCTAGGAAAAAAAGAGACAGACGTCCTAGTTTATCACATACCAACCAGGGTCTCTCCTCTTAACCTTTCACATGATACTGGTAGAAGCAATTTGTGAACTCTGTATAAGCAATTGCTTACAAAAATGTTTGTCGGTATTTATCTTCGTCTCTTTTGTTTTCATTTAGAAGTCACCAAAATTTGACACAAAGAGCAACAGATAAAACCCGCTAGTGAATCATATGATTAAATTAATGAAAGACCTAAATAAGTAGAACTTCAGAATTATGAAAACTGTGACAATTCCACAAAGCTACTGGCTACACACCACTAAGGACTGCCTGAACCAAAAAGCTTGTGCATGTGAATACAAACAAATATATGCAAATTTTACAACAATAGAAATGTTAACAGCAACACTTCAAGGCACTGTGTTTAGTTTTTGCCTCATAGTTCCCATTAAATGACAGGGTTTGCACAGCTAGAATTCCCTAATTGCCCATAGGTACCTGCATCAGTGCTCTGGCATCACAGAAACTAAATTAGAAAGACTCATAACTCAGGCAAACTCAACTGCTGCATGACTGAGACCAGCACAGAGACCTTCCCTATTCCTTACTTGTCATTGGCCAGATCATAGAAGTGTTTATTCACACAACCAACAGACAACAGGGACACAGCATCCAAATAGGAAAATATCTTCAGCAGCATTTCTGACGGCATGCTGGAAAACAAGAGAAAGAGCAATACTGTTAGACTTGCCTGCAGACTCCAGAATTGACAACAGCAAAGAATTTTAATTTCAAACCAGAGCAAAATGAAAGAGGTGGAAACTATCACCTTGTAAACACACAAATCAAAAATCAACCGAAGAGCTCAATTGCAAAGTTTGGGTTTTCCGATGTGACTCTCCAATATACAACATTTGCCTAAAACAATTCATTCCAACTTATTCAAGCGGCACAGCACAATTACATCAAAAGTTATGGGTTTGAATTCTCACAAAACTTTAACCCCATTTGACATGAAGCTATCTCATTCAACTTCAGTTTCTCACTGTTTGTACATGACCGTAACATTTAGTCCATAACCACCAGTATTTGCCAAAAGTTCAGATATATTCACTTTCCTCTTCACCGTGGTGTCAGGTCTCAGGATGCACCAGGACAGAAATGTCCTAGTCACACAGTAAGATGATGCTCTACCACATCATAATCTCAAACTGCATGTGCTCAGCCATCGCAGTTTTCATTTATGACAACAGAAAGACGTGAACTTCAAAATAATTGCTGAGTGGCATCTTGAGAACATTAAGGTTTCTGTGCATCTGGAAGGTTGCCTGAAATACAGGTGCCAGTCTAAGCACAATTAGCAAAATGTGCCCTGCAGATGAGCCACCAAGAATTTTGTATTGACAGAAAACTCATACTGTTCCAATATTACTACCTCATAACTGCAGAGTTTGAAATAGATGCATTTTATACTCTTAATTTTTTTGAAGCATAGAGTATGGCCACAACAAAATCACCACTGAAAATACAAGGTGCTGTGAAAGTCAACACCCCAGCTGTGCCTCTCATCCTTTTACCACTGTGCCATTTACAACACTTGATGATTTATGATACTTTATTCCAAAAGCACAGAGCTCTCAAGGGTAGCATGATAATGCCAATACTCCAATGTTTGTATTAAAACTTGGAATCTCAGTTGCACTAACATAGAGGCAATATGCCAAAACTTGCAACATGCCAAAACTTGCACGGTTATTATGTGAAATAACTCATGCACTGTAAGCCCAAAGCAGTTAGTGCATTGATTCCAGAGAGAATTTAGAAGTGATGCCTTAAAATGCTGCAAATTAACTAAAATAATATGCTTGATCCAGAATTCTCTAGAGCAGTTTTTATAAATTTATTATCTTTTCTTTACAGGAAGCTGAGAGAAAGGATTTTCTTTTTCTTTTTTCTTCTCTTTCACACCACACTAAATCATAAAGGTATTGAACTGGCCATCCAATGCAAAACAGAAATCACTACATAGGAAGCTATCAAATGTATAAAATAATGAAAATTAATTAATCTTTCCCTCCCCCTTCATCCCACTCCTAAGCCTCTCTATACAAAATAAAACCCAAGAATCAAGAGAGAGTGTAATTCCAAACTGGCTTTTACTGAAGTGATACAGGAACAACTTTTATTTTTAAGGAGCAACACTGCCCATGATGTGCAAAGGAGTTCCTGAGAGCTTCACATGACTTGGAAAACCTACATACTTCATATGAACTCAGGAAAGGGAGCAAGAGAGAACCATGCAGAAAACATTAGAAGGTGAACACAGGATAACAAAGGAGGCCAGGAGAGCAAATCTTTTCAACTCAGAACATTAGACATAGAAATCTTCAAAGTATGAACATTATTACTGTAAAAAGTCAAAAGATGGCTTAGAGCATGTACAGCATCTTCCACTCCTACTCCTAAAAGAAAGACATACCTCTCAATGCAGACTGTTGGTTTCGGTTTTATGGAATGTGTCAAATACAGACTTTTAATTCCAGCATTTACAGTTTCAGAACATTCCTCAGGCCTGGCAGCAAAGCTCCTTAACCTATTCCCAAGAAGGAAATGCTATTAGGAGTCACTCTTCACAAAATGAAGAAATATGGGTATTATCCACACCTAGACACAACATTTCAACCGAGGCAGGATTCAGGGGATACAGCACATGGCAACTCATTTTGATCAGTTCACTGATTTGAACAATTATCACAGAGTTAAAATACTTGACATCAGGAAGATGCCAGATTTAAACTCATAGCTGTCTCTCCTGTGATTAATCTCTCACAGTACTCAGAAGGGAACAGTGTCGCACCAGCACATCAGTTTGAATCCAGCAGAGATCTATTAGTGTTAGACAGCTGCACCACCACAATCAAGCTCCACAGAGGCCCCTGCAGTAAGTTAAATTCATTGATTAATCTTCTGGTTTGCAACATTACTCCAGAGACAGTTTTGAGCATCCAACTTTGCTAAGCTATTAAAATATACCAAATAAAACAATACCTTGAAACCTTCTCAGAAACTGTTGAGGCTCAAAGAGCATTCTCTTGAATATACAACAAAATCAATTTTGAAACAAAGCTGTAGTCGTTTCAGATTTTCCCCTGCTAAAACACTCAAATATCTCTAAGTGTTACTTCGACAGGCAAGATAGGTATTAATGTTTTTATAGCTCACTAGCACATCATGATTTATAGAAGTTATTATATACATATTACTTCTTTTATTAAAGAAAGCAACTTTGCATATTTGCAACACTAAAAAATTCTTACAATCCAGCTGGCCACACATTTTTCCAAGTTTTCTGGTAGTAAGGACTTTGCAAGCTGTAATTTCGACTCCTATCAGTAAACCATGTAAAAATATTGCAATAGACTTTCAATCAAATCCTTACACTTCATACCCACTGATGCCACTGAGCAGGCAGAGCTCCCCATACACTGTATTAGTGATGTTTTATATTGTCAGCTGACTTTCCAACACCTGGTCAAACCAGTTCTGGGTTTCTAAGCAACTAGTTGATACTGGGCGAAAAAAATACCAGATTTTGAAGTAGATGGGTACCACATATATATGACACATAGTGTTCTTGATTTAAGCTTGGTTTATGCTCAAAGAAAAATAAAAATTGAAAGAAAACAACTCTGCTCTACATTGTAAAAAAAACCAAGACATTTTACTGAGAATTGTTATAAACATAACACAAAAAGATGCACATTTCAGCTTGGGTGCCAATCACTGATAGACCAACTCAATTAACGAAGACAAAAAAGTAACCCTGTAACAAATACAACCTGAAAGCCAAGCAAATGTTTTGCTCATGTATTCTTAACAAGAAGTACAGTTAGATGATGAGATGAAGCACGAACAAACTGCATCTTTCAAACGCCATTGAAGGGATTTAGCAACAAAAACATGACTCTGTGGCTGTTGTCACTTTGAACAGCAGCAGAGGTATCACTTGGTTATGTTCCAGGGCAGCATGTCCCAGCCTATTCTACCCTGTATCCAAACTGAAAGCACAAAGATAACTAGTTTGGGCATACTCTACAGGGACAAAACTTCACAAACTCCAGGTACAGGAGTAATGTAGGTAAGAAGCTGCATCCTGGTCTTAAAACTCACTTTACCTTGTACAAGCATAACCTGCGTGGCCTATATTCAGTCCTTCTTGCTCTTTTTAACCACTCCTTGTAGTCCCCTCTTCATCACCCCAGGAAGGAATATCTGAGGTAAGAGAAATGTTGCCTACACATGCCTTAGAAATTTCCATATAATATCTACCCCTTTTGTAAGCTTCAACTAAAAAACAAAGTGCCAAACTCTTCCAAAACAAAAATATTCTCAAGGTGTGAACAACCAACAGCAAATCCAATCCATAAACTATTTGTCAAGTACCATGTGTGCTAAGATTTTAAATTAGCATTAACCAAATGCTTTTACGTGGCATTGACAAAGCTTGGGCAGATAAGCCCAAGTTAAAAGTTGATGACAGCTGTTACTCCCCCTCTTTAGAGACTTCTAGAACTACTGAGATGCTCTTACTTAGAGGCACAATAACTTCAGTTGCTTTTTTCATTAGGTTTCAACCTATGGGACTCAGTTTTGCACCAGTATTTTCCTTTTCATACCCCATAGTACTTGTAGTGTGACTTGGTTTTTTGATGGTCAGGGAACAAATCTCTTACAAATAGCATATTTCAAATAACTTATAGAAGGCTTTAAGAAGTGACAACACCTGTCTCCTCTTTCTCCAAATGTTAAAGCATACCTGGGGATAAACAGAAATGACAGTAATGTTTTGACATCTGGTGGGTTTTTTCCTCAGCTAACAGTTCCAAAGTGTTTTTAGAAGGTGGATATTATCCCCATCCATTTACATGTTTAAAAAACCCAACAAACCAACCCCAAAACCAAGTGGGGAATTAAACAACTATGAAACCCACTGTTGTACAAGTGGACTGGCAGGAATATCTGCCTTCTCAACTTTGCCTCCAAGACTGATGCTCTAAATTTTTGCAAGCTGAACCTGCACTGTAAGAAATCAGCTAATCACACTTTCCACAAGGAAAACCTCCCAATTATTACACAGGCCTAACTGCCCTTAACAGACAGACAGACAGAAGGTTAAGCCCCTTCTGCCATGGGACTTGGCCACAGCCGTGGCAAGTTTAGAGCTGGAAACCAGAGCTGCGGGGCAGGTGGAAGTGGTGCAATGGGAATTAAGGGAAAACAACAAACTACCCCGCGGGGAGCGGAGGGGGAAGGCCGAGCAGGCAGCCCCGGCGGGCAGAGCCGGCTCCGCGTCCCTCGTTACCTGCTGGGACCCGAGGCCATGGTCGCGCCGCGCCCGGCACAGCGGCGGAGGGGAGCGAGGCAGGGAGGGCGAAAGGAAGGGGAGGAGAGAGCGAGGGGAAAGGAGGGAGAAAGAGGAGAGCGGGGAAGAGAGAGCGAGAAGGAGGGAAGAGGGAAGAGGAAAGAGGAAAGAGGAAAGGGGGAAGGAGCGAGGGCGGGGGCG